CGGCCTTGTGGCCCTCTGCTTGTGCTCGGACAATGTGGTGACTTTGTGATCCACCCTGAGCTTACTTTGTTTTTCTTCTTCTCTTGACTGGTCTTGTGACCATTACTTGCTCTTGCTATCCCCCACTTCGCCTATGGGGGTGTGTCAAACATATGTGTTCATGTGTTTACAGTTATCTAGGCTATAGTGGGTTTAGTCTTAGGGGGTACACAATCTCTCTCGACATTGTACTTGTACCCTTCCTTGCTTCCTAGTAAATCATCCTCTCGTCATTCTCGCTACTATCTAACAGCACCACACGAGAAGTTGCCGATACCGACGTATCTGTCAGAATGTTATGTTTGTCTAGCCTGCAGTGGGGTACTCAATAGTGAGTACAGCCCAATCTAGGGTTTGCTATATGTACTCAACTGCTTGCTAGTGCAACCCCTTCTTTCTTGTTTCTAAACTTCCTGCTGTTTCTAACAGTATCCGCCGATTAACAAAAAACGACCCCACCCGTCCTCCCAGATTCGAGATGCCGCCCCCCCTCTCCCAGACACAAGCCGTCTCAATATAAACGGCAGGCCTACACCTCCTAGGAGAAACTCAGGTGGCTCGTGCGCATGGAGCTGGCGGCATCGATAAGCGAGGTCGCGCGGGAGTCTGGCATACACCGCAAATGCCTGATGGAGTGGAAAAGCCAAGCAGAGGAGCTCAAGGCTTCACATGCCGCAAGGTGTCAACTTCATGGGCGCGGGAGGTCTTCTTGGTACGGACCCATGGAGTTAAAGGTGTACGCTCAACTCCTCGACTGGCGACGCCGCGGTGTTGCAGTTTCAGTCGGCCGGCTCCAAGAATGGTCACGCGAAGTGATGAAGGTGCTGTTCCCGGAAGTCAAGTGGAAAGGGAGTCAGCGGTGGTCGGAGCGATTCCGCAAGCGGTGGAACCTCAGCGTGCGCATGAAAACTAAGGTGGCGCAGAAAACGCAGGAGCGTAAGTGCCTTGTTTCCCGCTTACCTCGAGCGAATTCGCATGGTTTATGAGTTGTACTCATCCTTCTTCCTATCTGTCATTCCCTCCCTGTGCGCAGACGTGGCGACGCAGTGCAAAGAATTTTGGCAGTTCGTCCGCAACGCACGCAACGAGTACGCGATCGACAATCGATACATAATCAACGCCGACCAAACACCTCTTTGGTTGGAGATGCCGGCCACTACCACGGTGGAGCAGACGGGCATGAAGTCGGTGCCCATCCGCAGCGCTGGTTACCAGAAAGAAAGAGTCACCGTGATGCTGGCGTGCACGGCGACGGGCGAGAAGTTGAAGCCGTGGGTGTTTTTCAAGCGCAAGACACTCCTTAAGGGTGACTTCCCGAACGGTAAGCACATGTTCTTGTGCGTGTTTTGGACGTTAAAACATCGCTTGCTTGTGTGCAGATGTCGTGGTCGGCTGCAAAGCGAACGGGTGGATGGAGGCCACGGGCGTCATCCAGTGGCTCGATGAGGGCGTGGTGCCGTTCCTGAAACCCAAATTCGCGTGCAGAGTCGGAGCGCCATGCTAGTACTCGACTCCTACCGTGGTCACCTTACCAAGGAAGTCAAGGCGAGATTAGCGGCGCTCAACATCGTGCCGGCGGTCATCCCGGCGGGATGCACAGCAGACGTGCAGCCGCTCGATGTGTCGGTGAACAAGAGCTTCAAAGCAAGTGTTCGCCAGCAGTACCAGTCCTGGTTTGAGGCGGACGGCATGAACATCCTAACACATGCAGTTGAGCGAGGACATGTCCTCCCGTCTCCCCTTCATGTGCTTGTCTGCCTGCTTGTGTTCTAATGTCCCCACTCCCTTTCGTGTGGTGCAGGGAACATAAAAAAACCACTCCCGGAGGTGGTGTTGAAATGGATTTCACGGGCGTGGAAGGCCGTGCCCGCCGACCTGATTATGAAATCCTTCCTCACGTGCGGCATCAGCAATGCCCTTGACGGGAGCGAGGACCATATGGTGATGGCACACCGGAGAAGCCAGCTGAGCCACGAGGTAGAGGTAGACGACGACATCCAAGCAGACGGGTTCTGGGGCAACAACTCCACGGAGCCTGAATCGGACGTGGAGGAAGTGGAGGCCTAAGGCTAGACTAGGCAAGATGGTGTTTAGGCTAGGACAATAGTCATCCTATTGTACGGTATGTGAGACTTTTAGGTAGTGCAAAATTTCCTATTGAAGGCTAGCCTTGCTTTAGCTCTAACGATAATGACATATTCAAAGTGTATTTTTTTTTATTACAAGGGTGCGCTTATAATAAGTACCGTAACGATTTTATAAGGGGTGCGCTTCTAATTGAGGATCGGCTATAAGCGCATTGCTCCAGATATAAGCGCATGCGCTTTTAATAGGCCTGCGGTCATATCCGGGGCGATACGGTTTAACATTTTGACAGCGGATACAATAGGATCGCACAGGACACGCACATCACCGTCTTAACTGAGAAAATAGTAGGTAGAGTTAGGAGCCATAGCTAGGTAAGTCCTAGCTAGGCAAGAGAAGTTTAGGCAAAAGAAGAAGAAGAGGGGGTTCACTAGAAAGCAGCAGGATACATATAGGAAACCCTAAGGGGTTGTACTCGCTATAGAGTACCCCACTGCAGGCTAGAGAACAATGACATTCTGACATTAACCACCAAGTTCCCGGATGCCCACTAGTCGCCGATTACTTTTCCTTTCTTCCAAGTAGGATGCAACTTGGCAGTGTATTTTTCTGCCGATTCGAATGGCAGGGATAGGAGGAAAGTGCATGGGTCGGAAGGTGGAAGGACAGGCAAGAGGTACAGCAGCACTGAATGAATCGGCCTGACGGCCTGACTAGTAGCACGGGAAAAAAAAAAAAAAAAAAAAAAAAAATATGATCATGAAACGATCTTGGTGCCAGCTTGAAGCAGGATGATCATGAAAGATTGGACAGTCGATCCTTCCCAGGATCCTTCGAACAGGGAGAGGGCTACGTCAGCACATACATGTGCAGGGAAAACCACAGGAATGAAACTCAATTGCCTAACTTTGGATGACCACAGTTCAGCACCCGCATCTTGCTGCTGCTGCTGCTACTACTACGACGGAACACCGCGATGCAGCGGAAGGCCAGCGGCAAACAGCGTTGCGGACTTACGAAGAAGTTTCCCTTTCTGCTTAAAGGGCTTGGCGATTTGGGCGGCAGACACGGCTGAAGCACTGCCGTGGCGTGCTAGAAATGGCGGAAATATCGAGGCAGACGCGGCGGCAGCAGTGAGGAATGCCGCACCTGACGGGCAAGGCGGCGCGCACGGCGACATTGGAAAAATGAGGGAGCGTCATGTCATGACATGTTCATAATGAGGGAGCGTAATGTCATGACATGCTCAAAATGAGGGGGCGAGAGGCGAAACCACTGACATGAACTGCCAGAAACGACAAAGCCGCGCCAGAAACGGCAAAGGTGGCTTCTACGGCTAAGGAAGCAGCAAACGCTCTGATGGACAGCGGCGGGGCCGCATTGATTGATATGGCGTCGAGGTTACTGTTAGGGCGTCAGATCCTTGGGACGGAGCAGGAACTTTGAAAGGTAACACTAAGTGCGTACAGAGGAGGAGGACGAAGAGAAGTGGTGGCGTGCGCTCCATGGTAGTAGCAGCAGGGGAGAAAGCTTGCACACTGAAAATGAAAACCTTGTGCTAGTAGAGATGACTGTATGCTGGCGAAGATACTCCTACCTTATGATATACGTGTCTCCGTCCAACAGAGCATCCGCCTGAGAGGGATGCATGTTGAGCCGTTCCCAGTTTCAGACTGGGTGAAAGTATGGCACTCGACTTGATGTGTGAGTGATAATTTGCGCTGCATGGCGAGAGGCGCCAGGCAGTGGGGCAGTCGGAGGTGGATGGTAGATGAGATGGGGGTCTGGATCAGAAGAAAAAAAGTCGTCACAACATGTGGACGAGGAACGGAGCGCGAAGGAGCCGGAAAGCGCCCCTCGATCGGCGCACCAGAAGGCATTTGTTGGACTCCACAGGCAGCAGCCGCTCTCTTTCAGCCATAGACTCCCCTACCTGAGACCAGATCGTGCTGGTGCTCGCTGCTAGATGGACTCAACTTAAAGCGACGGTGCACATTTGCCACCCAAAACCCAGAACCCTGGCGAACTGTTACTGCGGATGGAAAGTGTCCGCACGAAATCCTGGTTTTCGCCAGCCAGCACTTTCGCGCTGGCAAGCCTGGTTCAAAAAAAAAACTTCTGAACCCAACACTGCCAAAAGTTGCCCGTCGCTTTAATGAAAGTTAAGGAATTGCAGTGGTGCTTCACCAATCACGCACGACTCATGATTCCAGCGGTTATTAGGGCGTGCTGTACTAGCTCGTTTACACCTGTTCAGACTGGTGGGTGACGGTTCAAAGCGGTGTAGCAGACGTACCGCTCTAGAATGTACAGAACCTTTCTCCACCGCTGATACTGAACCAGAAGTGAACCAGAATTTACTGAAGATCGCTCGCCAGGGCAGAAACAGACTTGCCGTAAGCTAGTTTGAAGTCAAGATTACTGTATACTTAGTCTCAAGGTCGTGTTCCTCGCCTGTGTTGGTTCGATGCGTGGTGTGTTGTACAGTAACTTCATGTTCCAGAAAAATAGTGATCCCTTTCCCCCTTAGTACAATCACCACCATCAGTTACGACGCTGGGTGTACACACTATCATAATGCAATTACATCCTTTACAAAAAACCAATCTCGTAACGTGATTGTACATATTGTAGTACAATCACGATACGTCCAAGCAGTTGGGACGGCGTATCACCATTCTGTGCAGATAGGTAGCCTCTAGGGTTGTCGAAGCGCCACATCTAGCTGCTGAGCTTTCACGAGCAGAGATGGCTGAGTGCGGCGGTTTGCCGTGATACATGCAGATTAGGTCAGCAGCAGCACTAGAAGCATATATTGACGAGGATTCACCAGATTTAGTTGTACTGTTTTCTCACTGCTGTTTGCTGTTACCGTCATGTCCGCCAACAGGGATGTGCTCGCTAAGCATGTCGAGAGGCATCAACCTCTTCCCCAAGCCGCCACGTCCTCGCTTTCCCGGTCTCAACATTCTCGAAGCAACAAAGATCAGCATCAATCGCGTGCCACTCCCTCTTCTTCCGTTTCCGCTTCCGCCTCTGACCCTTCCGCCGCGTCGCCCACGCTCGGCGCGCTTCACAGGCTCCTCCCATCCGGAGCCGTTCCCGCCGGATCCTCCGACGACCGCGCTTTATCGTCCATACCGCCGCTTACCACCACCGCAAGTCCCGTAGACCTGCGGGACCGCGACGGCGGCGGAAGAGGCGGCGTTTCGCGAACCGGATCTTTCGGTCTTAGTGGTACTGGTGCCTTCCGTGCGGCTGGCGCAGGCGCTGGCGGTGGCGCCGCGGATGCGTACACGTGGCAGACGGTGGATAGCGGCGTCGCGGGCAGCTTAGAGTATCGCATGCGCTTTAAAGACCGCCTCGGGCGCACGTGCTCCCCCTGGCACCACATTCCTCTCAATACCCGCAACGGTCACGTGCACGTGGTTTGCACGACGCCTAAGAAATCCTGGGCGCGCTTCGAAGTCGCAGCGGATGAAGTTTTTTCCCCCCTGAGGCTTGCGCGCAAATCGTTAGGGGAAGGAGCGGGCGTCGGGGGAGCGGAAGCCGCGTGGGGGGGAGGAAGCGGCGCAGGGATTGGCGGAGGGATCGGCGGAGGCGCGGAGGGCGCGGGGAGAGTTTCTTCCGCCGTGGTTCCGCTGCACTACGCGTCGAACTGCCCGTGGAACGTAGTGATGCTGCCGCAGACGTGGGCGGATCCGCAGCTGCCGAATCTGGACTATCTAGGGTTGCGCTACGATGGGCGGCCGTTGGAAATGGTGGAGCTCGGGCGCAAGGCGCGCAAGAGAGGACAGGTGCGCGCGGCCCTTGGCGGCTCTTCTGCCATCCTCTCTTCTCGCACGTCGCCTTTCTCTTCGCCATCCTCTCTTCTCGCACGTCGCCTTTCTCTTCGCCATCCCGTTTCACCCACGTCCGCCTCGCCCTCCCCTCTCCTCAAGTTCCCCTCGACCGTCTTTCTTCCCACGCCCACGTCACCCCGTCTCTCTCGCACCCCTCTCGATTCAGAATCTACTTCCCCCATCCCCTCCCAACAGGTATACGCGGTGAAGGTGGTATCTGCGTTCGCGCTCGTGGACCTGCCGACCATGCGCCTTTCCTGGAAGCTTCTGGGCATGGCGGTGAGCGACAGGCGCGCACGGCGAGTGACCGACGCGGGGGACGTGCACCGCGTGATGCCCGGGACGCTAGAAGAGGTGCGCGAGTGGCTGCGGCAGAGCGAGCGCGTGCGCGCGCATGACCGCGAGTGGGTGTTCGGGCTGAACGAGCGCGCGGGGGACGCGTTCCTCGCGGGGAAGCTCGTGGCGGAGGCGCACGCCGCCTGGCAGCGCCTCGTGGCGCGGGTTCCGCCGCGCACCCCCGCGTTTTTGAAGGGGGAGGAGAGGGGAAGGGGAGCGGAGGGCAGGAGGGAAGGGAAGGGGGAAGGGCAGGAGGTGGGGAGCGGGCAAGTGAAGGGGAACGGGGACGGGGATGGGCAGGAACAGGAGAGAGGCGATGGTGCTGCTACTACTGGTTCTGACACCAGGCATGGCTCAAACAAGCTTGGCCTTTCCAGTCCCCTTCACACCCCCCCGCACACTCCCACTCACCCGCACCCCCCTCCCTCTACCCCCCCTCACTCCTCCATCTCTGGTACCTCCACCCCCTCACACATAGCCACTCCTCCCTGCGCATCCTCCTCCTCCGCCACACCTCCGCGCCTGTATCATAGTGACTCTGACGCGTCTTCCCAGTCAGCTGGCACAGGGCATGAGTCAGCTTTCACATCAGCTGGTGCTGCTGCTAGTGGTGGTGGTGGTGCTGGTGGTGGTGCTGGTGCTGCTGGTGCCGGTAGCAGCGGTAGCAGCAGCAGCAGCAGTGGGGTTGAGGAGCGGGCATTGCAGGCTGATGTGATTCCACTGCGTGACCCCAGAGCGAAGCTGCTGGTGCGGGCCATGATACGACCTGAGGCCACTAAGAGTGTGCTTGCTTTCAATGGATCGGATGATGAAGGGGAGGAGGAGGATGATGGGGAAGATGGGGACGAGGGTGAGGAGTGTGAGGAAGGAGGAGAGGGTGAGAGGGGCGAGGAGAGTAAGGGAGAGGAAGAGGAGGGTGAAGAGGGAAGGCTGGGGAGGGGTGAACGGACAAGGGGGAAGGAGCACGGGCACAGGAACACTGGTGGTGGCAGTGATAGTGCTGATGATGCTGCTGGTTGTGATGGTACTGCTGCTGGTACATCCAGTGGGGGTAGGGACAGGGCGAGTGGAAAGGGAAAAAAAGGTGCGGTAACGTGTTCGCGCAGAGAGCTGCTTCGGTTTCTGAGATCAACGGATCCCCGCCTCTCTCGACCGGCGTATATCGCATTCAACAAGGGGTTTATACATATGGACGGGCAGCAAAAGGAAGAGCTAGGCGGGGATACAGACGAGGGGGGCGGGTTTCCTGGTTCCTCTGCTGCCGCTGCTGCTGCTGGTGGTGATGGTAATGGTAATGGTGCTGGTGTCGGTGATGGTGCTAGTGCTGGTGCTGGTGCTGGTGCTGGTGCTGGTGCTGGTGCTAGTGCTGGTGCTGGTGCTGGTGCTGGTGCTGGTGCTGGTGCTGGTGCTGGTGCTGGTGCTGGTGCTGACAGAAGTGGGTCTAGGGGCGCAGGGAGGGTTGTCGAGGATGCCAGTGCACGTTCGGATAGGGTGCATGAGGAGGGTGGAGGACCGGCGGGTGGGAGTGGCGAGGGGAGTGCAGGTGGTGCTGTTGCTGCGCAGGCGAGCCGTTTAGATTCGGACGGGGCGTTGGGAAGCGGAGGAGCTGGGGGGATTGGGGGAGGAGGAGGAGGGGGCGGGGATGGGGATGGGAGGACAGTGGGCAAGAGCAGCAGGAGGAGTGGCGGTGGCAGCAGCAGCAGCAGCAGCAGCCACAGGAATGGGGGAAGCAGCTGGGGACGACAATTGGGGAAGGTGGAGGAGGAACCAGAAGAGGAGGAAGCAGCAGAGGTGGAGCAAGGGAGTGGAGGGGAGGAAGGGGAAAAAGGGGAGGACGGGGAGAATGGTGGGGATGGGGATAGGACGGAGGTGGGGGGAGAGGGAGGCGGTGTTGCAGAGTGCGGGGATGGATTGGTGGAGCGGACGTCCAGAAGTAGTGGTGGAGGAGGAGGAGGGCGAGTGGGTGCTGAGCGGGTGTGTGATGGAAATGCGTCTGCTGGCTTGGGTGGTAGTGCTGCTGCTGATGTTCCTGCTACGGCTGCTTCTGCCCCTCCTACCACAGTTGCTGCTGCTGCTGCTGCTGCTGCTGTTGAACGTGGTGGTACGAGCGACCTCGTGGTTGACAGCATTGGCCGTAGGGATGGCAGTGGTGGTGTCGCCGACTGTCGCACGACACTCTCCTGTGAAGAATTGAGGAAAATGAATGACTAGGAAATGAGTTGGGTACAAATAGGAAACCCTAACAAACTGTACCCCATAGTGTCTACCCCACTACAGCCTAATTAGGCTATGTGATTAATGTTTGACACACCCCCATAGGCAAGGTGGGGGAGAACAAGGGGTCACAAGACCAGACAAGCAAAGCAAATCAAAGCAAGCTCAGGGTGGATCACAACGTCACCACACATTCCGAGCACAGGTTCAAAGGCCACAAGGCCAGTTCACATGCAAGGTTATATATAAAGGTAAACAAGCAAGTGCAGGTATATAGATCACAGTACAAGTAAAGTCAAGAGGTAAGCAAGTGAGGCCAAGTAGGCACAAGACCTAGCATAGTACAGAAGCGCTGATGATCACAAGGCTGAAGCGCCTTGGTGAAGATATCAGCAGTGTTGGCCTGAGAGGCCACATAAGCAAGGCGCAGCTGACCACGCTGCTGCAGCTCACGAGCAAGGAAGTAGCGAAGAGCAATGTGCTTCGTTCTGTGCTCCAGTCTGTGGTCCCGACACAAGGCCAGCATGGCCTTGTTGTCTACGTACAGAACTGGAGGAGAACGAGGCGGCTCTCCCAGGTCAGTCAGCAGGTAGGTGAGCCAGCGTAACTCCTGTGTAGCCATGGCTCCTGCGTAGATCTCAGCCTCACAGCTGGAGCTGAGAACAGAAGACGAGCGGGTAGACCGCCACGAAACAGAACCGGAACCAAGGCTGAAGGTGTAACCCTGTGAAGACCGTTGGGTAGCCAGGTCGTCAACCCAAGACGCGTCTGCGTGACCAGTGAGGACCACTGGACTCCGCCCTCCAAGCACGAGCCCCATGCCCGACGTACTGCACAGGTAGCGCAACACCCTCTTCGCGACAGCCATGTGCTCTGGTCGGTGTCTCCCAGGAGCAACATAGCGAGCCAAGATGCTAAGAGGGTATGCCAGGTCAGGTCGAGTGCAGGTCATCAGGTACATGAGGCAGCCAACAAGCTCTGGGAACGGGCCACTCGGCTCTACGGACTCATCCGAAGGCAGAGCTGAGAGCGAGTGGCGAGTAGACAGAGGAGTGGCCTGAGGCGAGGAGTACGTGAAGTCGAAGCGCTGAAGGACCTGCTGCACCATGTGTGACTGAGTCAGGGTAATGGTGCGCCGTGCTCTGTCCCGGGTGATCTGCAAGCCAAGATAGCTGCACAGTTCACCCAGGTCTGTGCACGTGTGTCTCTTCTGCAGCTCGGCCTTCACGTGGGCGAGTCCAGCACTGTCAGCAGTAGCAAAGACCAAGTCTTCGACGTACACGAGGATGTAGAACGGCGGCAGCGAGGTGTCAGTGCGAAGAAACAGCGACGGGTCAGCAGTAGAAGGAGCAAACCCAAGAGCTGCAAGCGTAGTCCTCAGTGTGTCGTGCCACTCACGGGGTGCCTGGCGGAGACCGTAGACTGGCCGTCGGAGGCTCCACTAGGTACCAGGAGGAAACGACCCAGTGAAGCCAGATGGGCGGCGCAGCCAGATCTCCTCGTGCAGGCTTCCCTGTAGGAAAGCAGTGCTGAAGTCAAGGGAGTGAAGCTCGTAGTCAAGCTGAGCAGCGACATGCAGCAGAACCCGAAGAGTGGTCATCTTCGGGGTCGGGGAGAAGGTCTGAAAGTAGTCAACTCCCTGCCGCTGACTGAAGCCTCGAGCCACGTAACGCGCCTTGAAGACAGGCGGAGAACCCGGCGGCCGCTTCACCCTGAAAATCCACATGCCACTGACGATGTTCGCCCCAGGTGGGGGAACCTCGTCGACGTAGGTGCCTGTGGACTTCCAGGAAGCCATCTCTGCGTCCATGGCTGCCTGCCACTGAGAGGAGTAGGGACCCTCTATCGCCTCTGCGTAAGAGCGCGGGGTCGGGATGTCTGGTGCATCCAGGTCTCCCTCAGGGGCAAGCAGCAAAGACACGAGATGAGGTAAAGCAGCTGCAAAACACTGGAACTCCTCTTGCCTGTCCTCAAGGACGTCCGTGCTAAGAGCACACTCACCCCCGACGGACGGAGGACAGACACACGCAGACTCAGCAACAAGACTAGCGGCGTAGTCTAGACGACAGTGAGCAGCGAAGTCGACAAGCTCGACAACCAAGGCAGACGCAGCAGCGGACTCAAAGGAAGGGTCAGTGACAGCAGTGGCTAGGAAACGCGTGACAGTAGGACTGGCAGCACGAAGGGAGTCAGACGCCGGGTCAGCAAGAGCAGGAAGAGAGGACTCTGGAGGAGACGGCAAAGGGACACGCTGTGGCGCAGTGGAAGGACGCAGTGCCATCTGATGCGTGCCCGGGACCGCAAGAGGACGCTGACGTGGAACACGACGACTAGTGCGAGCAGTATGAACAGGTGACACAGGACGCGACTCAGGCTCACGACGCTCAGCAGGACCTCCAGTAGGACCAGCGTAGGGAGAAGGAGCAGGGAGAGGGGAGGCCAGCTGTAACCGTGACTCGGACTGGACAGGCGGTGGACACTCTAAGGAAGGAGCAGGACTAGAAGAAGGCGGAACACCAAGAACCTGCTCAAGGAGCGGAACGAAGTACGGCCGCGGCCGCGCAGTACCTCCAGAACCAGCAGGGACAACACCAGCACCCCCAGCGTCAGCTCCAACTCCAGCAGCACCACCAGCTCCAGTACCTCCAGCAGCCCCAGCTCCAGCAGGACCACCGGTAGACACAGCAGCTCCGGCTCCAGTACCTCCAGTAGCACCCACTCCAGCAGCACCTCCAGCTCCAGCTCCACCAGTAGCTCCAGCACCAGGAGCACCACCAGGCCCAGCAGCTCCAGTACCTCCAGTACGAGCACCTCCGGGACCCGTGGCTCCAGCACCCCCAGCAGAAGCAGAACCTCCAGCACCGGCTCCAGTAGCACCTCCAGCACCAGTACCTCCAGCAGCAGCAGAACGGCTCCAGCGCCGAGCAAACCACTCGCGCAGCTCCTGTGGAGAGGGAAGCTCCCGCCGGGACAAAGCACCCGAAGGACCTCCAGGTCCAGTACCGGCAGGCTCCGCACCCCCACTCTCAGCAACCCCAGGCTCAGCACCCCTAGTCTCCGCACGCTCAGGCTCAGCACCCCCAGAAGCAGCATCCCCAGTCTCCGCACGCTCAGGCTCAGCACCCCCAGAAGCAGCATCCCCAGTCTCCGCACGCTCAGGCTCAGCACCCCCAGACCCAGCACCCCCAGGCTCCGCACGCTCAGGCTCAGCACCCCCAGAAGCACCAGAGTCAACAGCTACCTCGACAGGCTCGACTGCATCTACCTGGGACACACCTGAGGGGGCAGGACCCTGAGGGGGGAGGGGGTCTACCGGGGGGGGACCGGGCGCGAGGAAGAGCGGCGGGGGGGGGAGGGGGGCAGTGCGGTAGGGGAAGAGACGGTATTACGGAACCGACTCGTCAAACGTGACGTCCTGGGAGGACAGAACACGACGCGAGGAGGGGTGGTAAAACTGCCAACCAGGCGCGTCAGGGGGAAAGCCGAGGAAGACGCAAGGAACAGCACGGGAGGACAGCTTGTCCGCAGACAAGTCTCGGATGAAAGCTCGAGATCCTCAGACACGGAACGCAGACGCATCACCAACCTTCCCCGTCCACCGCAGAGTAGGGGAGGTCTCCGGCAGGGAGACCCGGGGCTGAAGGTTGATCTGATGCGCCGCGTACTGAACCGCGAACGGCCACAGAAAATGGGGAGCAGCCGCATGGATCATGGACGTACGAGCGACATCCATGACCATGCCAATGCGGCGCTCAGCAATCCCATTTTGCTGTGGAGAGGCCGGAAGCGTGAACGTCTGGCGGATGCCCTCCGCACGACAGAAGGCTCGCAGAAGGTCGGAGGAAAACTCTCCGCCTCTATCGGAGTGCAGACGCAAAACAGGAAAGTCCGAGCCGAAACGCTCTCTGAGCTGGAGACGAGCAACGCGGATCCAGTCGATCAACACCTCAGTGACCTCACCCTTGCTGCGCAAGGGGAAGACTGTGGTGTAACGCGAGTAGTCGTCAACCACCAGCAGGAAGTAACGCTCGTGACCCTGTCCACGGACGCGGGCTGGGCCCCACACGTCCATGTGGAGAGTCTGCAGTGGAGCCTCTGTCGGGGGAAACTCGGAGGAGTGAGGAGCGGCGCGCTGCCGCCCCTCGACACAGGGAACGCAGGTAGGGGCAGGCCCCGGGGGAAGGGGAGGGAGGGACCGGGGGAGACCAGAGACAAGGACACAGGAGGCCATGCCTCGGAGACGAGGCAAGGAGGGGTGACCAAGGCGGTGGTGCCAGAGGAGGGTCTGGTGGGACAGGAGGCGACACGAGCAGGGGGCAGACTCAGGACCTGACCGAGACGCTGCAGCAAACACCTGACTCGACGTAGCTACCTGAATAGACGCAGCAACCGGGGGAGACTCTGTGGTCAGTGTGTACAGGCTCGACCCCGGTCGACGGGTAAACGTGGCCAAGTGGCGGCCCGTCTGAGCACACGTGCAGTGGGTCACTCGCTGACTCGCAGGAGTGAACTGGTCAAACCCGGCATCCTGAAGGTCAGCACCACTCACCAAGTTCGTGGAGAACGAGGGGAGGTAGAGACCAGACAGGGAGCCGGACGGGGCCGCCGGACACGGGAGGACAGTGGAGTAGCGAGCAAGAACAGGACCCCCAGAGGGGTCTGCCAGGGAGACCGCAACCGGCCGACTGAGCGGCGTAAGGGTGGTGCGGTCTTGAAAGAAGGAGCGGGAAGCACCCGAGTCGAGGGTGAAGGTGTGCAAGACCTGAGCCGACGCGGTACCTGAGAGAGCAGACTCACCAGCGCCTAGAGCAGCAGACTCACTAGCACCTGGAGCAGCAGACTCACGAGCACCTAGAGCAGCAGCCTCAATGCCCGGGTCAGGCGGAACACACACGTAACAGTCACCCTCAGCACTAATAGACACAGCATACATGGCAGCAAGAATAGCATCAAAGTCAAGATCAAAGATAGCTACACCCGACTTGAGCAGATCACCCCAGCGAGGGATCTCAGTGGCGTCAGGGAACTGGGTACGCCAGGCGTCTGTCAGGCGACCAAAGCAGCGCTG